AGGCAATTTCAAATGCAGTCAACTGTTTTTGCTCTCAAATTAAGCATTATTTGAATTTCTTAAGCTGGGCTACCCTATTTTTTTTTGCGGATTGGAGGGGGGGGGGGGTTGTGGAATTCGTGAAAAACCCACCCAATCCATTTCACTCGGTCGGAAGAAGGGAAGCCATTTTTACCACTTCATGAAGTTTCTCAGTCCTAGAGGGTTTCACTGAGCATTATGAAATGAACATCGTTCAAGAATGTCAGTTCCTCGAGTTCAATAGAGCACAACTAAAGTCCTTACTGTTGCCCTATTGTTAATTGATTACTTTATGAATTTGAATCAAAGAAATAAAACGTCATCTTTGTTCGACTAAAAAACAATGTTTTGTTCACTAAAGTGACTATGATTCCCAAGAAATGTGTGAACCGTGTAAAATAATACGACCATTACATACTAGATGAAAAAAATACACAAAAGTTAAGTTAAAATTTTATTTTTTCACATCAGGTTACCTTTAAGAGCCATATTTCCAACAGTTATAATATGTCAGTCGCTTAAGTCGCGGCGATTTTAGGTGTTATCCACTTGTGGTTGTTAGTACTCCGTTTTAACTTGATTTACTAACAAATACTCTTTCGTCCGTTTAGTACAAAATATAATGTGAAACAAAATATTTTTGGAAGCTATCCTAAGGGACTGAAGTCTATATTTAGCATTGATAAAAAACATAAGTGCTGATTTAAGTATATGAAAGCAACAGTTCGTAGTAAAACTGAGAGGTTTTCTGGGTAACATGGCCACTTACTTTCACACAACTTTCTTTCACTCCCATCCTTAACGCTGACTATCTCATCGAAACTCTTGTTTTACTTCCATATACTTTCATTTTTAAGTGATATTTTGGATTTCTTATACTAAAAATTTGATGCAGCCAGGGACAACTTCTCGAAATCGATTTTACGCAAGAAATTGATCACGATTGAATAATGGATATATGGTATGGTTCTTACCCACGTCGCGTGTCGTCTGTTGCCCCTCCCTCCCTCCCCCCCCCCTTTGTATGCGTTATTGTGTAAGGTTATAATAGGTAGAACGCGGCGTGAAGGTCAATATATGACAATCTGGTGAGTACCCTTTGTTTGAAGCTGTGAGCCCTTTTTGAAAAACCTGGCTACGCCCCTGTTTAAAGATGGACAAAGTCTGTACGGGAAAAGACTAAAGATAATTCTTTGCGGTATTGACCGAGTGGTAAGAAGGTAAATAAAGCTAGGGCAAAAAGAACGGGCGCGAAAGGTAGTTGGGCGATCGGGTTTGCTGCCGTACCAGTGCCGGTTAAAGTCTTAAAAACACAGGAACTGGCCCCGGGTCCAGGTTGACCCTAGGTACCATTGGACCCAGATGGTCCACGAAGACCCTGAACACAAGGTATTCCAGGCGGTCCTGCATGGCCCTGAGTACCATTATATCCCGGAGATCCGGGAGGCCCGGGAGGTCCGGCAGGTCCGGCAGGTCCAACGTCACCATTAGAACCGTTGACTCCAGGTGGTCCTCTAACGCTCGCGCTGCCAGTAGTATTTTTCACCTACTCAATTAAAAAAAAAGCAAGAACAACAATAATATTCGCAGTAACCATTACAATGATGATAACAATGAAAATGATGACAATTGTAACGACAATGCTAATTGACAGTGACAGAGAAAGTGACAGTGACAGTGAAAGTGACAGTGAAAGTGACAGTGACAGTGACAGTGACAGAGAAAGTTATAGTGTCAATGAGAATGAAAATGAAAGTGACAGTGACAGTAACAGTAACAGTGAAAGTCACAGTAACAGTAACAGTAACAGTGACAGTGACAGTGACAGTGACAGTGACAGTGACAGTGACAGTGACAGTAACAGTAACAGTGACAGTGACAGTGACAGTGACAGTGACAGTGACAGTGACAGTGACAGTGACAGTGACAGTGACAGTGACAGTGACAGTGACAGTGACAGTGACAGTGACAGTGACAGTGACAGTGACAGTGACAGTGATAGTGAAAGTGAAAGTGAAAGTGAAAGTGAAAATGAAAATGAAAGTGAAATTGAAAGTGAAAGGTCAGTCAGAGGTTGATTCGAAATTCGGTACGAAATGGCACACAAAAATACATTCAAGTATATGTACCTTTTGATCCAGTTGCATGATTCTTTGTTGAAAATGCAGAAACCTCTCACTTACGCTTGTATTCAGACCCTGTACTGCGAGAAATTTTGTATTTTTGCCCTAAACAAATAAAACGGGCCAAATTATTGTGTTAGAGAATAAGTGGGCCTACTAAAGTTGGTGAAATAAGTAGGGCAGTCCGCGTTTTGCTTTTGAACATAATGATGATAAGGACTGTAACAGTGAGAGATTCAGATAACGAAACTTACCTCGTTTTTCGTGTTTTCCATTTTTTCTTCCATCTACCATAAAGTAAGAAACTCATGTTAAACTAAGCGCACTGATAGTTATTTTTTCCTAATTTAGATGGAAGTGGAAATGGTTGAATTTCAACTTGCCTTTATCGTTAGCTCCTTCAACTCTGCTGTGACCTAACACAAGGACACTTAAGATGACCTATAGTAATGTTTATCAGGCTCTCCTAGGCACTCAACAATCTCGGATTAGAAATACAATTTAGATCACTACATTGAAGAAGTTAAAGCTGAAGAAGTGCAGTGTTGTTAACGCAAAAACGATGCCTCCAGCCTGCGCTCCAGGGAATTATTAAAGCTCTGTTTAAAATACGTATATTTCTGTACCATTATTAACAATCAGGGGGTTAAAAGTCCTTTTGGGGCCTTTAGTCTTATTTACATACATGTACCCATGTATTTCACATCAGTGCACTTTTGCTTTTAACTGGCCCCTGCTAATGATTAAAAATTACTCCTACCGAGTAATCTCTTAATGCAGAGAGGTTCCTCTCCAACTCTTGCATATTCTTTTGAAGTTCTGACGTTTCTAGAAGAGGGGAGACAATAAGAGAAACATAGAAAATGTAAAAAAAATGAATTGAATCAAAATAGTGTAACAATTTTGAAATAAAAAAAGTATCATCAGCTTTCGAAAATTCTCATGGAAAAAAATATCTTGCATTCAAATGCTGCATTCAGTAAATTTCTGAGGCATACAATTGAAGAAACTAGTGTAATTGAAGCTGATCGATTGTGGAATGTGTACGGACACGTTTCGGCCGGTTAATCACCACATTTTCCTTCACTTTCGAAGTATGTTACTATTTCAGTGAAAGTAACAATTGGCGGCAATATATAATAAGCTGAGGCTGGGTTTTAACGTAGGAACATATTCGGAGATATTTTCACTGATCTAACCCTTATGTTGGCCTTTTTTTATGATCCAGGCCTGTTTGTAAATGGATACTGTAAAGGATATCGACAACTCAAAGCGAGTAAATCACCCCGCGTAGACTAATCTATTTCACAAATCCAAAGCGGCAATGTCCGAATTATACTTTCTATTAGCACTAATTATATATTTTGTTCAAATAGGAACGATGATGGTGAGGGTCTCCCTACGCAGGCGGAGATGGCGATAATTTTGATCACGGGGTGATGTGAATGGGAAGATGGTTGATCCTCGCTCGAAAAAGGATGTCTAGGCTAAGAGCTGGCACCCTCTCTGCTTTGCCGTTGCTGGCGTTTCTTCTTGTCCCCCTCCACGCCTCCTTTTTTTTTTTTTTTTCACACTACACATTTTGTGTTAAGATTAAATTTCTCAGCGTAATGAAGTCTTTGTCCACGTTAAAGACGGGCCGGGAGAGATTAAGCTAGAATGGATTTAACATGCGCAAACCTTAAGTCATAACCCTTTGTTTTTCTTGTGTGATATTTCAAAACAAATAAATCTCATGACTATTTGTCGAACATTTTCTTTGTTCCGCTTTCATCCCTCGCGTGTTTGAGATAGCAATAAATATTGCCATTGCTCACAATCCCATACATGTGATTTATCAATCCAAGAGAGATGGGGTTTTCAGTTATTTATTTTTCTCTTTTTAAACTGGCGTTTCGATCAAGAATAATTAATGTATTTTTACAGCAATATGCTGGATGTGCCACACTCGCGGATCCTAGTTGTATGTGAGCAAACGAATTTACTGTTAAAGAGATATGTTTTTCAATGCTCAGTTGTCACAACTTAGCCTCACCTAAATATCAAATCATGCAGACATAATAGAATGCAGACATAATAGAATGCAGACATAATAGAATTCAACGTAAGGCTATAGATTGTGCAATAAAAGATTGAACTGACCATAAATGATGATGAAAGCATTATTGAACAAAATGATTATGCTTTCTTCATTTTGATCCAGGTTATCACTATCGACCCCACTTTCCAATGTACAGCGAGATATCAAGATAGAAGCAAATGAGGTATAGAAGGTTTTGTCTTGATGTTTTAGTCTTCGATGGGCTGAGGTCAAACCTAAATTAAAATTTTCTCAACTTAAAAGATCCACTGGCTTCGTAGAAGCCACCCTTGATTGCATTTAATGCAAGGGTAATTTGAGAGGTTGCATGGATCATTTTCCGAAATAGCTACTTTAAAGGCGTTGAAAAGGATTAGAAAGAAAATTTTAAAAAACTCTTCCAAAGCAAGATACTGTAACCATTTTTTCAACATTGTTTTCATAGTCCCATCAATCACACAAATCCTTACCTACATTTGGCAGAACTTTTTTTTTCCCTTTTTTTAGCACCGTGCAATATTAGGCAATTTCAAATGCAGTCAACTGTTTTTGCTATCAAATTAAGCATTATTTAAATTTCTTAAGCTGGGCTTCCCTATGTTTGATGCGGGTTGGAGGGAGGAAGGGGTGTGGTTTCTTAGTCCCAGAGGGTTTCACTGAGCATTATGGGTGGAACATCGTTCAAGAAATTGATCACGATTAAATTAATGGATATACTTTATAACAATACTTATAACGGGACTTCCCCGGGGTTCTTACGTACCCGTGTCGCCCCCCCCCCCTCCCCGCCTTTGTTTTAGGTTATAATAAACAGATCGCGGCGTGAAGGTCGATATGACTCTGGTGAGTATCCTTTGTTTGACGCTGTGAGCCTTTTTTGAAAAATCCCGGATAAGCCCCTGATGAAAGCATGGACAAAGTCTCTACGGGAAAAGACTCAAGATAATTATTTGCAGTATTGACCGAGTGGTAAGAAGGTAAATAAAGCAAGGGCAAAAACGACGGGCGCGAAAGTTACTGGTGAATAAGAAACTGAGTTTCTGATTGAAGAAATCATGTACACCTCTAAATGAGTATGGATGACAGCAAAGTCTCAGCCTATTCAATTATAGATATCTTTGAATTGTTACTTCGACATCAGGTAAAGTAAACGCAATGTCGCTAAATAGGGTGATTTCCTACTGAGTGTGGAAAGTAATGCTACTTTGCTTTGGTTTTGCCTCGCTTCGCAATATGATTGGTGTAGAACTGAAACTCACACCATACTTTAAATCAGCCAGATTGAAAACTAAATCCAATCGCGATCTTGGTTTATTGCGTTTTCTCGCACTAAGGGCATACAACCTGTTGTTACTCCTTCTCCTGATTATGCTCCTTTGACTTTCCTTTGATTTTGCTTTTACAACACTCAACTGAAATGCCCTCTCAAAGAAATCCCAGTTCACTGGGCATATTTGAAAAACAGAATTAACGTCAAACCACTAAATTGTTCTTCGTCTCGTTTCTGAATCAACACTGTATTATCTTCGTTACATTTCTCCTGTTCATTACATGGTTTTCCGTTTTTCCTCTTATGACTTACACTCCCAGTAGTGCATGTAGCAATACATCGTTGGTTCTCCAGTTGTTAGGGTACCTTCGCAAGAGCACTTGTAGGTTCTCTTTCCACCTGAGTCGACGCTTGATAATTTAGCAGTTTTTGCGTCGTTTGTATCACAGTTTACGCCAATAAAGATTTTACCCTGGCAGGAAAAAAGATAATAAAAACGATACTGATGATAATGAAAGACTACATCAAGTGTTCGAAATGTGGAAGAGCAAAACATTTCTTTCCTCTTCAATGGGTGTACACACGACGTGGCGAAAGCCAACGCCTACAATCTGGGCAATTCTTACTGTGAGTTTTCTATGCCGAAATCGGATATCACAGATACAGCCTACACGTCTAGGAACGTAAGAAGAGAAAAATCCACGTATTTTCTAACACTGGCCTTTAAATGTACGCTGGACAACTAGTTCCCTCAGTGAGCAGGTCGTTCTTGTAAAATCGATTTTCATTGTCTCTCATAGGGCAAGATACAGAGTCATAAAACCGGGCTAACGAATATTTTGAAAAAACTGATATTTGTAAACGTTTTTTGTTCCATGACGAGCCAAGAATGTCATTGCTTCGTGTGGGATTAAAGAAATAACTGTAAATACACTGAAAGGTATGAAATTGTCAAAATAAATAAATAAATAAAAAATAAAAAAGTTATCTTAAAATTGGACAGAAAAATGAACTTTTTGAACAAGTTTGTGCTGCATTTCGAAACAAGTTGTTTAAGGTTTCCTATTTTTTTTTTGTCTCATAATGATGGAGATTTAAGACTTAAAAGAGAGGAAATTAGCTTTGATTCTCAAAATCGATGCAGCCTATGGCTCAACTTTCTGACTTTAAGGGAGGCTTTAGGACATTTGGATAACTCCTTGAACCGGTAAATATTGTCATAAGTGTTAATAATTCGTAAAGTAATTTTCAATAAGTATAATATTTACTAATATAATATTTAATATTTTTAATAGTTATTTTCTTGTCAGAATCAAACAGAATCAAACAGAATCAACTTTCACAATCTTGAACTCAACATACGTTTTGTTCCGTCGCTGTAACTTCTTCTCGGGAGAACGAGCTTGCTCCCATGCCAGGGCTAGATAAAGTCTTAAAAACACAGGAACTGGCCCCGGGTCCAGGCGGACCCTGGGTGCCATTGAACCCAGATGGTCCACGAAGACCCTGAACACCAGGTAGTCCAGACGGTCCTGCAGGGCCCTGAGTACCATTATATCCCGGAGGTCCGGGAGGTCCGGCAGGTCCAGCAGGTCCAGCAGGTCCGACAAGTCCAATGTCACCCCTTGAACCATTATATCCTGGAGGTCCGGCGGGTCCGGCAGGTCCGGCAGGTCCAACGTCACCACTAGTACCGTTGACTCCAGGTGGTCCTCTGACACTCGTGCTGCCAGTAGTATTTTTCACCTATTCAATTAGAAAAAAAAACAACAACAACAATGATATTCACAGTAACCATTACAATGATGACAACAATGACAATTGTAATGACAATGCCAACTGCAGCAATTACAATGAAAATGACAGGGACAATGACAGTGACAGAGAAAGTGACAGTTAGAGCAAAAGTGAAAGTGACGGTGACTGAGAAAGTGACAGTGTCAATGACTATGAAAATGAAAGTGACAGTGACGGTAAAAGTAACAGTGAAAGTGACGGTAATAGTGACAGTGACAGTGACAGTTACAGTGACTGTGACAGTGAAAGTCAAAGGTCAGTCAGAGGTTGATTCAAAATTCGGTACGAAATGGCACCCAAAATACATTCAGGTATATGTACCTTTTGATCCAGTTGCATGATTCTTTGTTGAAAATGCAGAAACCTCTCATTTACGCTTGTGTTCAGACCAGTCAAAGTTTGGGCAGCATCCCTTACTGCGAGACGAATATCCTTCAGCTCTGTATTTTTGCCCTAAAAAAATAAAATGGGCCAAATTATTGTGTTAGGGAATTAGTGGGCCTACTAAAGTTGGTGAAGTAAGTAAATCAGTCCACGTTTTGCTTTTGAACATAAGGATGATAAAGACTGTAACAGTGAGATATTCAGATAACGATACATCCGTAATGTTAATGTTGAAACTTACCTCGTTTTTCATGTTTTCCATTTCTTTTTTAATCTACCATAAAGTAAGAAACTCATATTAAACTAAGTGCACCTATAGTAACTTTTTTTCCTAATATAAATGGAACTGGAAATAGATGAATTTAAACTTGCCTTTATCGCTAGCTCCTCCAACTCTGCTGAGACCTAACATAAGGAGTATTCAACATCATATCATTTTTTTAATGAATGGTTGACTGTTATTGATGATTTACGATCATTATCATTATTGTTATAATTAAGATTAAGATGATCATTACGATTATTAAAGGAGGTGAATGAATGGTTTACTTACGTTTTTCTTCAGTTCTTTTACATCCCCTGGAACCTATAAAAGTAAAAAATGCAATATTCCTGATCAAGTTTCTTTGTAGAATGAAGCTCTCTTCTCATTTCTTATTCATAATGATTTAATGACGATGATGGCTATATAGTTGTGCAATTTGCATGATAAGGTTCGCACCTGCTATTCTTCCAAATATGGTTAAAAAAATTAGAAGAACACTGATAATGTCTGTGAGAATGACACTTAAGATGACCTATAGTAACATTTATCAGGCTCCCCCAGGCACACAACAGTCTCGGATTAGAAATAAATTTAGATCACCACATTGAAGAAGTTAAAGCAGAAGAAATGCAGTGTTGTTAACACAAAAACGATGCCTCCAGCTTGCGCTGCAGGGAATTATTAAAGCTCTGTTTAAAATATGTATATTTCTGTACCATTACTAACAATCAGGGAGTTAAAGTCCTTTTGGGGCCTTTAGTCTTATGTACATATATGTATCCATTTATTTCACATCAGTGCACTTTTGCTTTTAACTGACCACTGCTAATGATTAAGAATTACTCCTACCGAGTAATCTCTTAATGCAGAGAGGTTCCAAACCAACTCTTGCATATTCTTTTGAAGTTCTGACGTTTCTAGAAAAGGGGAGACAAGAAGAAAAACATAGAAAATGTAAACAAAATGAATTGAATTAAAATAGTGTAACAATTTTGAAATAAAAAAAGTATCATTAGCCTTCGAAAAATCTCATGGAAAAAATATCTTGGATCATTTATTAAATGCTGCATTCAACAAATTTCTGAGGCATACAATTAAAGAAACTAGAGTAATTGAAGCTGATCAATTTTGGAATGTGTACGGACACGTTTTGGCCGGTTAATCACCACATTTTCTTTCACTTTCGAAGTATGTTTCTATTTCAGTCAAAGTGATAATTGGCGACAATATATAATAAGCTGAGGCTGGGTTTTAAAGTAAGAACACATTCGGAAATATTTTGACTGATCTAACCCTCGTGTTGGCCTTTTTTATGATCCAGGCCTGTTTGTAAATGGATACTGTAAAGGATATCGACAACTCAAAGCGAGTAAATCACCCCGCGTAGACTAATCCATCTCACTAATCCAAAGCGGCAACGTCCAAATGATACTTCCTGTTAGCACTAATTATATATTTTGTTCAGATAGGAACGATGATGGTGAAGTTCTCCTTACGCAGGCGGAGATGGCGATGATTTTGATCACGGGGTGATGTGAATGCAGAGATGGCTGATCTCATTCGAAACAGTATGTCTACATGCGGACACGGTATTGCCGGATGTGAGCCAGGCTGACAGCTGGCACCCTCTCTGCTTTACCGCTGCTGGCATTTCTTCTTGTCTCCACGCGTTCTTTTTTTTTTTTTTTTTTTCCACATTACACATTTTGTGTTAAGATTAAATTTCTCAGCGTAATGAATTCTTTGTCCACTTTAAAGACGGGCCGGGAGAGATTAAGCTAGAATGGATTTAACATGCGCAAACCTTAAGTCATAACCCTTTGTTTTTCTTGTGTGATATTTCAAAACAAATAAATCTCATGACTATTTGTCGAACATTTTCTTTGTTTCGCTTTCATCCCTCGCGTGTTTGAGATAGCAATAAATAAGGCCATTGCACACAATCCCATACATGTGATTTATCAATCCAAGAGTGATGGGGTTTTCAGTTATTTATTTTTCTCTTTTTAAACTGGCGTTTCGATCAAGAATAATTAATGTATTTTTACAGCAATATGCTGGATGTGCCACACTCGCGGATCCTAGTTGTATGTGAGCAAACGAATTTACTGTTAAAGAGATATGTTTTTCAACGCTCAGTTGTCACAACTTAGCCTCATCTAAATATCAAATCATGCAGACATAATATGTTGTTCATGATTACGACTAAGTACCACGATAGACGGATTGCCCCTTGTAAGCAATGTCATTTTCTTGGACTTGAAATCCTATACTAATCATCAGTGCGGAGAAAGCTCTAGTAAATAAAGGTCAAATATTTCAAACTCTGTACAAAATTCTTCAAGAAGTTATTTTTTAATTTGGAGATGAAAATTTTATGCGATAGTAGTTGGTTGATAAATTGGGCTTTTTACTAAAAAATAACGTGGCTTTTATTGACCCAATTTCGTGGAATCTTAATAATAAAAATACTCAAATCATATCGAAAAAGTTTCTCTAGTTTTCTCTTCGGACAGGATATTAAATGGAGTCGAGACCGAAGTAAATTATTGTTCGCTTTATCATGTCGTACGCGTTTCACTAATGCCACTTTTAAAATTTCAACGAATCAAGACCTACGAATGTTTACTTACAACAGGAAGGAGCAATGGTAGCCATACCTGTTGAAACCTCGCTCCGTGTCGTCATGATTGCCACAGCTAAAACCAAAGTGGCAAGGGCTGTTAAGAGCGAAGCAACAGCGATGGCAGATGCGATAAAGAATAATGGGTTATGCTTCTTTATACGGCTGTGTTTCCACGTTTGGTTTTATCTTTGGAGTTTCCTATCCGAAAACTACACTGTCACAGGTTTCGGCGTTATGTTCCTGTTTAGATTCCATTTCGTAATAAATGTTCTCCTGCCCGATCTCGATCTTAGTATCCATCATTGGGTGGTATGATTGTGCCGTTCGTGAAACAGATCAACTTTAGACTCTTCTTGGGGCGAAACATGCTTAGGCAGACAAAAGAGATGCTGAAATACGATTCGATATGATCATATGATCATCTCTGATTGATGAGAATAAGAAAAGCTGAAAATAGGATAATGACAGGAAGTATTTGTTTCGACGTAAGGCTATAGATTGTGCAATAAAAGATTGAACTGACCTTAACTGACGATGAAAGCATCATCGAACAAAATGATTATGCTGTCTTGATTTTGATCCAGGTTATCACTATCGACCCCACTTCCCAGTGTACAGTGTGATATCAAGGTAGAAGCAAATGAGGTCTAGAGGGTTTTGTCTTGATGTTTTAGTCTTCGAAGGGCTGAAGTCAAACCCAAATTAAAATTTTCTAGCCTTTAATCATCCACTGGCTTCGTATAAGCCACCTTTGATTGCATTTAATGCTAGGATAATTTGAGAGGTGGCATGGATCATTTTCCGAAATAGCTACTTTAAAGGCGTTGAAAAGGATGAGAAAGAAAATATTTAAAGACTCTTCCAGAGCGAGATACTGTAACCATTTTTTTCAACATTGTTTTCATAGTCCCATCAATTACACAAATCCTTACCTACATTTAGCGGAACTCTTTTTTTCCCTTTTTTTTTTAGCACCATGCAATATTAGGCAATTTCAAATGCAGTCAACAGTTTTTGCTCTCAAATTAAGCATTATTTGAATTTCTTAAGCTGGGCTTCCCTATCTTTTATGCGGGTTGCAGGGGGGAGGGGGTGTGGATTTCCTGCAAAACCCACCCAATCCATTTCACTCGGTTGGAAGAAGGGACGCCATTTTTAATGCTTCAGGGAGTTTCTTAGTCCGACAGAGTTTCACTGAGCATTATGAAATGAACATCGTTCAAGACCGTCAGTTCCTCGAGTTCAATAGAGCACAACTAAAGTCTTCACTGTGACCCTGTTGTTAATTGATTACTTTATGAATTTGAATCATAGAAATACATCGTTATCGTTGTGCGACTAAAAAACAATGTTTTGTTTACTAAAGTGACCATGACTACCAAGAAATGTGTGAGCCGTGTAAAATTATGTGACTTTTACATACTAGATGAAAAACATACACAAAACTGAAGGAAAGTCATGTTAAGTTAAACTTTTATTTTTTTCAAATTAAGTTTCCTTTGAGAGCCATATTTCCAACAGTTATAACATGTCAGTCGCTTAAGTAGCGGTGATTTTATAATTTAGGTGTTATCCACTTGTGGCTGCTAGTATTCCTTTTTAACTTGATATACTACGAAATACCGCTTTTTCTTCCGTTTATTATAAAATGCAATGTGAAACAAAATATTTTTGGAAGCTATTCTAAGGGACTGAAGTCCATATTTAGCATCTATAACAAACATAAGTGTTGATTTAAGTATATGAAAGCAACAGTTCGTAGTAAAACTGAGAGGTTTTCTGGGTAACATGGCCACTTACTTTCACAAAACTTTCTTCCACTCCCATCCTTAACGCTGACTATCTCATCGAACTCTTGTTTTACTTCCATATACTTTCATTTAAAGTGATATTTTGGATTTCTTATACTAAAAGTTTGATGCTGCTAGGGAAACTTCTCGAAATCGATTTCATGCAAGAAACTGATCACCATTAAATAATGGATATGAGGAATTTCCCTAGGGTTCTTGGGTACCCGCGTCGCGTGTCGTCTGTCCCCCCTTGGTACGCGTTATTGTTTTAGGTTATGATAGGTAGAACGCGGCGTGAAGGGCGATATGTCGATATGACAATCTGGCGAGTACCCTTTGTCTGACGCTGTGAGCCATTTTTAAAAAACCTGGCTACGCCCCTGTTTAAAGATGGACAAAGTTTGTACGAGAAAAGACTCAAGATAATTATTTGCGGTATTGACCGAGTGGTAAGAAGGTAAATAAAGCTAGGGCAAAGAGAACGGGTGCGAAAGTTGGTGGTGAAAAAAAAACCGAGTTTCTGATTAAATAATTCATGTACACCTTTGAATGAGTATGAATGACAGGAAAGTCTCAGCCTATTAAACTTTGGATCTTTTTTAATTGTTACTTCGACATCAGGTAAAGTAAACACAATTCCGCTAAATAAGATTGATTCCAACTGAGTGTGGAAAGTAAAGCTACTTTGCTTTGGTTTTGCCCTACTTCGCAATATGATTGGTGTAGAACTGAAACTCACACCATACTTTGAATCAGCCAGATTGAAAAGTAAATCCAATCGCGATCTTGGTTTATTGCGTTTTCTCACGCTTAGGGCTTGCAACCTGTTTTTACTCCTCCTCCTGATTATACTCCTTTGACTTTCCTTTGATTTTGGTTTTACAACACTTAACTGAAATGCTCTCTAAAAGAAAACCTTGTTCACTGAGCATATTTGAAAAATAGAATTAACGTTAAACCACTGAATTGTTCTTCGTCTCGTTTCTGATTCAACACTGTATTATCTTCTTTACAAAGAGTCCTGTTCATTAAATGGCTTTCCGTTTTTCATCTCATGACTTACACTCCCAGTAGTGCATGTAGCAATACATCGTTGCTTCTCCAGTTGTTAGGGTACCTTCGCAATAGCATCTGTAGGTTCTCTTTCCACCTGCGACGATGCTTGATAATTTAGCAACTTTCGCGTCGTTTGTATCACAGTTTACGCCAATAAAGATTTTACCCTGGCAAGAAAAGAACATAATAAATATGATACTGATGACGATGATAAATTACGTCAAGAGTTCGAAATGTGGATGAGCAAAACATTTCTTTCCTCTTCAATGGGTCTACACACGACGTCGCATCAAACAGAATCAAACAGAATCAACTTTCACAATCTTCAACTAAACTTACGTTTGTTTCCGTCGCCGTAGTTTCTTGTGGGGCGATCGGGCTTGCTGCCGTACCAGAGCTGGTTAAATTCTTAAAAACACAGGAACTGGCCCCGGGTCCAGGTGGACCCTGGGTACCATTGAACCCAGATGGTCCACGAAGACCCTGAACACCAGGTATTCCAGGCGGTCCTGCATGGCCCTGAGTACCATTATATCCCGGAGGACCGGGAGGTCCGGCAGGTCCGGAAAGTCCAATGTCACCCTTTGTACCATTATATCCTCGAGGTCCGGCGGGTCCGGCAGGTCCAACGTCTCCATTAGAACCGTTGACTCCAGGTGGTCCTCTGACGCTCCTGCTGCCAGTAGCATTTTTCACCTACTCAATTAAAAAAAAGCAACAACAACAATGATATTCACAGTAACCATTACCATGATGATAACAATGAAAATGATGACAATTGTAATGACAATGCCAATTGCCGCAATTACAATAAGAATGTCAGTGACAATGACAGTGACAGTGAAAGTGACAGTGAAAGTGACAGAGAAAGTGACAGTGTCAATGACAATGAAAGTGACGGTGTCAATGACAATGGAAATGAAATTGTTATTTACAGTGACAGTGAAAGTAACAGTAATAGTGACAGTGACAGTGACAGTGACAGTGAAAATAGAAGTGAAAGTGAAAGTGAAAGGTCAGTCAGAGGTTGATTCGAAATTCAGTACGAAATGGCACCCAATAATACATTCAAGTATATGTACCTTTTGATCCAGTTGGATGATTGTTTTTTGAAAATGCAGAAACCTCTCATTTACGCTTGTATTCAGACCAGTCAAAGTTTGTGCAGCATCCTGTACTACGAGACGGATATCCTCTAGCTCTGTATTTTTGCCCTAAAAAATAGAACGAGCCAAATTATTGTGTTAGAGAATTAACGGGCCTACAAAAGTTGGTGAAATTACTAGAGCAGTCCGCGTTTTGCTTTTGAACATCATGATGATGGGGATTGAAACAGTGAGAGATTCAGATAACGAAACTTACCTCGTTTTTCATGTTTTCCATTTTTTTTTCCATCTACCATAAAGTAAGGAACTCATGTTAAACTAAGCGCACCAATAGTGATTTTTTAATATAGATGGAACTGGAAATGGTTGAATTTAAACTTGCCTTTATCACTAGCTCCTTCAACTCTGCTGAGACCTAACACAAGGAAGAAAAGAAAAGAAAAGAAACCATTTAACATTATATCATATTTTTAATAAATGTTTTATTGTTATTGATGATTTACAATCATTATCATTATTATTAAGATTAAGATGATCATTACGATTATTAAAGGAGGCGAATGAATGGCAAACTTACGTTTTTCTTCAGTTCTTTTACATCCCCTGAAACCTATAACAATAAAAAAATGCAAATTAATATTCGTGATCAAGTTTCTTTGTAGAATAATACCCTCTTCTCATTTCTTGGTCATAATGATTTAATGATGATGATTGCTATATAGGTGCTATTCTTCCAAAAATGGTTAAAAAAATTAGGAGAACGCTGATAATGTCTGTGATAATGACACTTAAGATGACCTATAGCAATGTTTATCATTCTCCCCCAGGCACACAACAGTCTCGGATTAGATATAAAATTTAGATCACCACAGTGCAGAAGTTAAAACAGAAGACATGCAGTGTTGTTAACACAAAAACGATGCCTCCAGCCTGCGCTCCAGGGAATTATTAAAGCTCTGTTTAAAACATGTATATTTCTGTTCCATTACAATCAACAACAATCAGGGAGTTAAAAGTCCTTTTGGGGCCTTTAGTCTTATGTACATATATGTATCCATGTATTTCACATCAGTGCACTTTTGCTTTTAACTGACCACTGCTAATGATTTAGAATTACTCCTACCGAGTAATCTCTTAATGCAGAGAGGTTCCAAACCAACTCTTGTATATTCTTTTGAAGTTCTGACGTTTCTAGAAAGGGGGAAACAATAAGAAAAACATAGAAAATGTAAACAAAATGAATTGAATTAAAACAATTTTGAAATAAAAAAAAGCATCATTAGCCTTCGAAAAATCCCATGGAAAAAATATCTTGGACCATTAATTAAATGCTGCATTCAGCAAATTTCTGAGGCATACAATTAAAGAAACTAGAGAAATCGAGGCTGATCGATTTTGGAACGTGTACGGACACGTTTTGGCCGGTTAATCACCACATTTTCTTTCACTTTCAAAGTATGCTGCTGTTTCAGTCAAAGTGATAATTGGCGACAATATATAATAAGCTGAGGCTGGGTTTTAAAGTAAGAACACATTCGGAAATATTTTGACTGATCTAACCCTCGTGTTGGCCCTTTTTATGATCCAGGCCTGTTTGTAAATGGATACTGTAAAGGATATCGACAACTCAAAGCGAGTAAATCATCCCGCGTAGACTAATCCATCTCACTAATCCAAAGCGGCAACGTCCAAATTATGCTTTCTGTTAGCACTAATTATATCTTTTGTTCAGATAGGAACGATGATGGTGAGGTTCTCCTTACGCAGGCGGAGATGGCGATGATTTTGATCACGGGGTGATGTGAATGCGAAGATGGTTGATCTCGTTCGAAACAGTATGTCTACATGCGGACACGGTATTGCCGGATGTGAGCCAGGCTAAGAGCTGGCACCCTCTCTGCTTTGCCGTTGCTGGCGTTTCTTCTTATCCCCCTCCACGCCTTCTTTTTTCTTTCTTTCATTTTTTTTTTTTCACACTACACATTTTCTGTTAAGATTAAATTTCTCAGCGTAATAAAGTAAAGACGGGCCGTGAGAGATTAAGCTAGAATGGATTTAACATGCGCAAACCTTAAGTCATAACCCTTTGTTTTACTTGTGTGATATTTCAAAACAAATAAATCTCATGAATATTTGTAGAACATTTTCTTTGTTTCGCTTTCATCCCTCGCGTGTTTGAGATAGCAATAAATAAGGCCATTGCACACAATCCCATACATGTGATTTATCAATCCAAGAGTGATGGGTTTTTCAGTTATCTATTTTTCTCTTTTTAAACTGGCGTTTCCATCAAGAATAATAAAATGTGTTTTTAAAGCAATATGCTTGATGTGCCACACTCGCGGATCCTAGTTGTATGTGAGCAAACGAATTTACTGTTAAAGAGATATGTTTTTCAACGCTCAGTTGTCACAACTTAGCCTCATCTAAATATCAAATCATGCAGACATAATAGAATTGCCCATGTTGTTCATGATTACGACTAAGTACCATGATAGACGGATTGCCCCTTGTAAGCAACGTCATTTTCTTAGACTTGAAATCCTATACTAATCATCAGTGCGGAGAAAGCTTTAGTAAATAAAGGTCAAATATTTCAAACTCTGTATGAAATTCTTCAAGAAGTTATTTTTTAATTTGGAGATGCGATAGTAGTTGGTTGATAAATTGGGCTTTTTACTAAAAAAATAACGTGGCTTTTATTGACCCAATTTCGTGGAATCTTAATAATAAAAATACTCAAATCATATCGAAAAAGTTTCTCTAGTTTTCTCTTCGGACAGGAAATTAAATGGTCGAGACCGAAGTAAATTATTGTTTGCTTTATCGTGTCGTACGCGTTTCACTAATGCCACTTTTAAAATTTCAACGAATCAAGACCCACGAATGTTTACTTACAACAGGAAGGAGCAATGGTAGCCATCAGTACCTGTTGAAACCTCGCTCCGTGTCGTCATGATTGCCACAGCTAAAATCAAAGTGGCAAGGGCTGTTAAGAGCGAAGCAACAGCGATGGCAGATGCGATAAAGAATAATGGGTTATGATTCACTGTATCAGAATCTTTAGACGGCTGTGTTTCCACGTTTAGTTTTGCCTGTGGAGTGTCCTTTCTGAAAACTACACTGTCTTAGGTTTCGGCGTTATCTTCTTGTTTAGATTCCATTTCGAAATAAATGTTCTCCTGCCCGACCTCGATCTTAGTATCCATCATCGGGTGGTATGATTATGCCGTTTGTGAAACAGATCATCGGGTGGTATGATTATGCCGTTTGTGCAACAGATCCACTTTAGACTCTTCTTGGGGCGAAACGTGCTAAGGTAAGGTTGAGTTTAATCACCTTCTTCTTGTGAGTTTGGCCACGTTCACCTAGCGAGTTTAATCACGTTTTCTTCGTTGTGATCGTGAAGTTGGCATGGAACTCGTGATAAGCCTTGTTCTTAAATAAGTTAATTTGTTAGTCCAGGAAGAGCAAATCTCCCTGGTAATAGATCGCGTTCGACACCTTCGTGTTTCCAGAGGTAATTTAAGGGTAAACAGGTGATGTCCCTCATGTTTTCGCAACAAGAAGCAATTTGGGGGCGGTACTTGAGAGCGCCTTTCTTCTTTAACTCTTGTGACCAAGATGTTGTTATGTAACAATCTTTTAAGGTGATTTTCTCTTAAGATACACTTTTAGGTATAAATAACACTCTATTCCAAGGTTATTTGTAATTTTTATATTGTCGATCTCGTTTCTGTTCTGGCCGATCTCAACCGTAAAGATATGAAAATTAGGGAAAAATTGATTTTGTAACTGCGTAGACAACCCTAAGGTGCTTACTCAGTATGTGGGAACTATAATACGTAGTCAAGTGTGATTCGCTAGTTGAGATGGTACGATGACGACACAAGAAGATTGACGGCTTAGAAATGTCATCCGCAGTGACACCTTTATAAGCGGAGACTCTAGTTTTCCCTGATATATTGAAGCTAGTTCCCATTGTAACAACTTGAGAAGAAAAGTAATTAAATAAAGGATCAACCAAACCACAAACGAGTGTTAGAGAAGTTAATGCTAACAATGGACCTGTCTTGAGACAGACGACGTGGAACACATAACACCAGTTGCTTGGGGCGGAATTTAGATTTGGCATAGACGAAAACACTATTTGATTGGATTGATTTAACTGATTCTTTGCTGAAAAAAATACCGTCGTCTCCTCAAGAGGGAGACTTCTTGTTAGCTCTTCTAACTGAATACAATTATTTTCTGGAGCCAAGTGCTTCATCCAGGGGTAAATCTCTGACTCTTTGTTCAGTGTCATACTTTCCGAGAGAGCGACATATACCGCAACTAAGGAAGACTAAACGCGAAAATCATTAAGACCGATAACTATTCTTTAACAAGCCAATGCTTCAGAAAATGTTGCGCAAAAATTAAGCAAAGACTGATTCATTATAAAAAGCTACCCTAAAGGATTGGCGTAACCTTTTTCGTTGTAAAAGGGCACATGCTTTATACTGTACTTTTTTAAGGAGCATGAGACATCTAAGCCACACGGCCATAAATTAAGACAATCACTTGTCTTTTTTTTTTTTTTCTCAGTCGAATGTTCACTTACAATCATTCTTGCATAACGTGATATCTTGAAGCCCTTTTCTTTCCCACTTTTTTTTTGTCTTTAGTCTAAATCATGTCTTTTCCCATTATCAGGTTTGCAATTTATGATGATGATTCTTGTTTTGAGCCCCAAATTCCTAAGAGAGTTGTCTATGCAACGGGTCATAGAGGTGCAAGTCTACCTACCCTGAAGAGCGCCATGATCCGTTGGAAAAGTCGAGGAGGTGTTGAATGCGTGAGACTTCATCATGACCAAAGCTAAAACCAAAGCTGTTATAGCCGTGAGGAAGGCTGTGGTGCCAACTGCAATTGATATGAACAGAAGTCGCCGAGTTACGTCTGTATTTGATTGCCAGGCATCTATAGGCTGGGATCGTTCTTGTTCGTTAATCTCCTCTCTTTCTCCGAACTTTCCAAACCAACCGGTGTTTTTTTCAGTCACGGTAGCTGAGTTATTACTTGTTTCTGCACTACTTCCCTTTTTGATCAGCTCCATCTCGACGAAAAAATGTCCTTTCACCCGCCGTCTGCCTAAATTAATTAGTGATTGTGGATTAAGGATGCTAATTATCTTTCAGTCGTACTTTGCCCTTTAAGTCTAAAATCGATTGCTCTCGTTCAATGGTGGATTAGTGGTAATTAAATAAAGCGCAGTTCTCAAAGGACCATTCACTCTTGAAAAGCATCGAGCTGTCGCAATTAAAATTGATAAGTGATTTACGTGTGCTCCTTTAGTTACATAAACCGACGGAATACGAATTGTTTGAAATTTGCGCATGATGAAACGCATTGTTTATCATTCTTTACTTAGACTGGGAGTTTAACCTGAAATTATCAATCAAATCCTTTCATTATTTTACTTTTTTATCGGATACTTTTCTAAAGGTACATTATAAATCTGTAATTTAGTACTGCTTTGGGAACATCTCACTTTTATTGTGAGGCATGTTGATGTCAATGAATACTTCACCCATAGGATTCCTTCTTGAATAATTTTTTTCAAAATTGTTTTCCAAAAAATTGACTATATCAGTTTTGATAAGCTTTGTTTGAGCTGAAAACTGCAATCATTCCACTCGTCGAAAAGTATCGATCAGATTATGAATAACGAAGGAACATCGGTCTTAATTACAAACCAGTGACTTGAATGAGATTGACTGTGCTGACAAGATTCTAATTGCGGTACAGCAATGCTGCAGTGACATAAGAAATCCGGTATGAGGCCAAGTACACTGAAGGTGCCAACAATGACAGACGAACGCATTAAAAGAAAAAGAAAAAAAAACGTAATTATACTACGAGCTACATACAATAAAAATAGGCAAACATTGGCAATAATGTGTCAGTGAAAACAGTCAACAGTACAACCAACAAATGAACTTCATTCGCTGCTTTGTCTTTCCCCGACACATTATTGCCAATGTTTGCCTATGCATAACTATGAAAAAAGTTGGTCATTAGGGAATATGGCATATTCCCTAATTCCCTTAAATTCTTAAATAACATTATTAGATCGTATTATGACAAAAGCATCAAAATCGAAGGACAGCAATATCGGGCCATATTATGTGTACACTGGTTCAAATGCCG